ATTCTAAATGAAGACCCTCTATAATGTTTTGCTGGCAAGGGCATCTCTCTAGGTGCCACTTTTCAATGTGAGGCAAGACCTGCGGCATGTTATATGCCAAAGGAATCTTGCTATCAACACGCATGAGTTTTTACATCGGTGTTTTAGTTGTATATTAGCTATTCAAAAATCCCATAAAGAGGAATTGCAGCAGACTGCAGCAGTATAACAGTCTATAGCCATAGTAAGGGCTATGACTAGATTTGCATCTGTTTTGGTCTTTAAGCAGCAAAGCTCTTTTAAGAACAACCGACAAATTCTCCAGAATGATCTGTTGGCCTGCCCATGGGTCTGCGTTTACTCTCGTTAACGTCAGCGGGATTGGCAGGCAGGGGCTGAGAGCAGAAGGTTTATACTTGGTTTTTCCCTAGCGCCAGTCAGGACCTCCTTGATGTTACGAGAACCGCGCACCAGCTTGCAATACGTGCCTTCAGCGGCTTAGCTCTGTGGGGATGAGAAGGCTTCACCCCTCTCAGAATAATGTTTTTCAGGTCCTGCAGTACTCTCCTTGCAGGCACTTCAGCTGGCTTTGGACATCTGCACCGCTCCAGTGTAAACCCTTGCTCATCGTGCTGGCCAAAGGGAAGCGCTTTCAAAGTCCATCTCCCCAAAGCTGTCAAGCCTGTTCACGTGACTCCATGGATTAACGTAGTTCAAAAGCATGAAATACTTTCCTCCTCTCTATCACCTGTGTCCTTTGCTGGCTGAGTGACTTTTTTTTTTTTCTTTCTGGTCTCCTATAAAATGCAGAAGCCTCAGATTACCAAAACAGCTGCACATGCTTTGTCTGGGTTAATGCATTTAAGTCAGGCTCTAGGGTCTGGGTAAGTGCCAAGATTCCTGGATCACTGCTTTACCAGAATTATGCTGCTGTAATGGAGCCCTGCATTATTGTGTTGCAATTATTTTGGCTTGCAGCTGGCTGCTCCCTCTATATTTTTACTGAAGTGAGATAAAAGGATTTTGTCTTAAAAATAGAATTTTCTTTTCTGAATCTTACAGAAGCTTTGCGTAACATACCGTGTCTGTAAGCTTTCTGGTCTCCTATAAAATGCAGAAGCCTCAGATTACCAAAACAGCTGCACATGCTTTGTCTGGGTTAATGCATTTAAGTCAGGCTCTAGGGTCTGGGTAAGTGCCAAGATCCTGGATCAGCTGCTTTACCAGAATTATGCTGCTGTAATGGAGCCCTGCATTATTGTGTTGCAATTATTTTGGCTTGCAGCTGGCTGCTCCCTCTATATTTTTACTGAAGTGAGATAAAAGGATTTTGTCTTAAAAATAGAATTTTCTTTTCTGAATCTTACAGAAGCTTTGCGTAACATACCGTGTCTGTAAGAGGTGCTCCTCCATTTATCTTCAGATTTATCTTCAAGGAGAAGAGCAAATAATTTTTGTAATAGTTTTTGAAGAACAGGAACAGTGCTAAATGGTTTCAAAACATAAAATAAAAGTGTATTGAAAAGAGAATAAAATAAGTTGTTAAAGTGTCATGTAATAACATGGTTTTAGGTTCTCAGCAAGAACAGGTTTATTTTCAGCATCAAGCCACTTACCAGTAGCAAGTTGTTCTTAAAGCTGTCCCTATAATTTGGCAATGCTTTGTGTAGACAGGTAAAAGAACAGATCCAGATTTTAAACTGAAGAAAAACGTTTCCCTAAGCTTGAATCTTCTATATTTATATCTATTCAAGCTCTTTTTTTGATGCCTATTTATATACATTTCTTGTCAAATAACAGCACGCTCAGGTTCTCTAGTTGATAGTGAAAAGTAAACTGAATGCAATCATTTATCTTTGAATTGTTCAACTGTGCTGCCCTTCATGTTCTTGTTAATAATGCCAGGTCTCCCAGGAGCGCTCTCACGCAATTTTATCACATAAGCTTTTTGTTTGACCTTACCTGCTGTTCCCCTGGAACATGGTGGGGGGGGAAGAAGCCAAAATGTCAGCCTGCCTTAATTAAAATTTTAGTCTCAGAAGATGTTACAGTATGTGATTTCATTAGGTATATAATGAAAGTATTTAATCATTCCGCTTATTTGTCTGGGCCTTCTTACTTGGTAGTGAGGTCACCGAGTTTTAAAACAACTCTTTTAAGGTGTGGAAAAGTTACTGAGGGGTGGGTGTGATTCATAAATCCATTGTATCCATGATTTTGCATGTTTGCCCTAAAGGTGGTTGCTTGGATGATGAGGTAGAAGGCTCTAAATAACAGTTCAGTGCTCTCTGCAAAAACATTTTTCCCCCACAGGACAGCAAGCATGCATATAAATGTTTTTTTAAAAGACAGTGCTATTCCTTGTCTCCAGCAGTTGGAACTTGGCATCGTAAAGAGTAGAAGAAAATGTGATGGGTGTTTCTTTGGTGCTGACGTGTAAGAAGCTCTAAATCTTACATGTGATACGTGGTGTTACTTTAATCATTTCTCATTGGTGTAATCTAAACCACCGTAACAGGAGGCTTTCTACCACCCAGATGAGGCCATTTGTTTTATGCAGTGACTGTTCTTGAGGAAAAGTCTGCGCACAAAGCACTCTCTCTTTTAGCTTTTGTAAAGATGTACCTTATTCCAGCTTATATGGGACAAGCAGAGTTAAAAAAATAGATTTGTGAGGCCCTGATCCTGCACATCTTTTGAGCGGGGAGGGTTTGCAGTGCTAGGGGAGTTGTGTTATTCCCCTGATTTTTCCCATTTCGTTAGCAGCCGAGGAGTGTCCCCAGTTGGCCGTGTTGTCTCAAGTAGCACATGAAACCATCCATGCTTCGGATGCTCTGTGCCTTGGGTTTCTTCCAGCCCCCGGGGTTGCAAAACAAGTAAAACCAGGATTTCCTACAGCTTTTTGAGGAAGAATAAATGTAGAGGACAAGGAGGGGCAGTTCAGCTAGATAAGAGAGATCCTGCTCTGGCAGTTGGACAGAACTAGCCACATGGGGGATTTCAGAACTGTTATCCACAGAAAAATTTCTTGTGTATTCAGGGTATTTTCATCAGCAGTTTTTACCAAATCCGACAAATAGGTTGCTCTGAAATAATGCACAATTGCAGCAAATTTCCAAATTTGATTTCTTCTTCTTCTGAAGCTGGACAAAGATGTTTTTGCACTATTGATTTTGTGGGATTTGTAGCTTTGTAAGCCAGAGAGAGAAAGGGGGAGGGGAAGACAGACAAGCTGTCTTCTAACCAGTATTTTTCTTCTTTCTTTTGTAGTAATAAATCTTACTGGCTCATATCTCTGATGCATATACATCTTGCTGAGTTCCTTAATGCAGCTGAATACAGCTCTTTTCTCTGTGGGTCTGCCAACAAATGTGGCCGTTGATCTGTTACCAGGTTCAAGAAGCATGAATGTGTTCTCAGCAAAGCTACGGCCAATTTAGGGACCAGGGAGCTATGATTCTGGCAGCAATTATGCGTTGAGACTCTAAGTTCAAAATCCTGCAGTTTTATAACCCCAGCTCTGCAAAGAATTATTCGAGTCACTGTCATTGTAATCAGTTTAGGAATATATTTACCGTGTTGTGTTATCAGTGAATGTAACTGGAGTGCCATTAGCTAAAAATTGTTTTGATCTCGCACAACTTGAAAGAATCAGTGTCATTAGTTTTGCAAAACAAAACTAGCGTAATGCCCCATGCTTTCCCATGCAAGCTGTACTGCTGGAGTGGGATGTGCTTTTACCCGAAATGAAAGAAGCCAAACTGTAAGTCACTTGTGTGAAAAGGCTTCTCTTGTTTTTGAGGGTCTGAGCCTGTGGAGTGCCCTGAGGAGAGGAGTCTGTGTGCTGCTGTGGTTATTGGCACATGTGCTGTTTCACGTGTGTTATAAGCCACCTCATACCTCCAAGTTAATCTGTTGCTTCTTAAGACTCCTTTATTTCAGGAATAGGTATTCTTGTTTTTTCCTTTGTATGTGTGTGAAAATGAAATAAAATAATTGCATGGTCTTATGTTTTGAGGGGAAAGGGATGGATTTTTAGCATTAAGCTATTACGTATTTGTCCTTCTAGTTCACATGGTATCCAGTTCACACCCATAAATTATCTATTGATGTCTTCAAGTGGAACACAAAGCCCGAATACCTTCCTAGGTCAAGACATTTTTATGTGTATTGCAGAGAGAAAGCAGACACAGTAGGAGTGGATTGATCAACTGCAGCAGATTTGGTTTGCAGCATGCCTTGGATTTTAGATCCAAGCTGAAACTACAAAATTGTTTACAAAGTGTTTTGGATTCCAGCTGCACAAGATGCAGTTTAAATCTTCAGACTCACACAGAAAATGACACACCAGCAGGGAGACGATAATTAGTGCCTCTTCTGTGGGAGTCTTCCAAACTGCAGACACTTTGGGGTGAGGCTAAAATCAAAATCAGCTTAAATTTATAGCTTAATTTTATGTTTTCCATGAGACGTTTAGTCCATCATTTGCGATGAAACTGGCCAGGTAATGACCAACTGCATAATGGAAAAAACCCCCTGATTTCCTCAGCAGCCACCCAAATGTAACACCTGGATGTGAGAAGCCAGTCTGAGTGCAATGCCTTGGAGCAGTGCTTCTCTAGAGCGAGCAGTATATGGGGAGACTTTGTAGCTGGTAATTACGATGTTCATGTAGGAGGTGAAACATCTGGTTGCAATCTAGTACTTAAGTATCTCACGCGAGGTAAGGAGCGTCAGCAGGAGGGACTGACGGACCCCTGTAGCAGGGAGGGCTTTGTTCTGGCTGCTAGAAACTCCTTGCCTCAAATTCCTGCTCTTAGTTGTGCTGGGAAGGGATTTCAGTATGCTCCTCCCACAGCTTGGCCAACTGTCCTAAACACAAGATTCCCCAACCTTGCTTCCTTTCCTCGTATTTTACAGATAACATTTAGGGTCTGTTTGAGAATCAAAAGGTTCTTTGTGTCGAGACAAAGTGTTTGATCTTGCCGAACTGCTTGCTTCATTTTTTTTCTTCCTTCCAGTTTTGCAAGTACTTTGGGATGGACCAACTCAGAGCTTTTGGCAAATAAGTGAGTTGCCAAAAACTTTACCAAACTTACTGATGTGTGCATGACTGAATTATAGTTTTACAATGACATTTTTTCTTCTCTTGATTAGTAACATCATGGGCGTTGTAAGTTTCTATGATGATAGAGTAAAAGCTACATCCAGCCACTTTAATACTTTACCCCATAGCTTATTTTAAAAAGTAAAGGAAAACGTAGCCTAGTAAAATTGTGGGAATAGATACCTATCATATTCTTCAGCCTACAAAACCTACTGAGCGCTACTCCAGCCAGGGCAAAGTAAACTAAAATAGGCCAGAAATAGCCCTTAGAATATCCACCGTACACAGGTGAACTTTCTACTTGTGGAGTGAATTGGGTGGCATTGGCAGTATGTGATCAAAGGAAGCAGACTGGGAAAGAGGATCCTGTCTCACATGCAAAAGATTAGTCATTTTCTTGGAAGATAGGAAAAGAGTTAAGAGCTAGCTGGCTAAAATTTTCGTAAGTATTTCAAGTCTGGAAGCTGTAATTTAATGCTCTGAATAATACTGGACACAGAGCACACTTGAATCATATCTTTATTCCCAGAACTTCTTATTAAACTGATGAATATCTTCTAGCAAGCTGTCCATCCTTGTTTTAGAGGTTTCAGGTGATAGCAAATGTGATTCCTCTCTGGGTAGATTGCCCCCTTGATAATTATAGGGTCTGTTGAAACTTTGAATTTTATTTCTAATCTGAAAAGTTTTAGGTTTATCTTCCAGCCATGTAATTTTATTACACTGTTTTCTATTCTGTTCAAGAACTATCTACCAGCAGATACCTCTCCATCTCTTGAATAAATTGAGCAGAGTGAGCTCATTAGGTCTCCCAGGAAGACGTGCACTTTCTGACCTCAGATCATTTTTGTAGCTCTCTTCTCTGCCCTTTCCAGTTTGGGAAGTCTTCTGCAAATGTAGGCCCCTGTGGCAAGTGCAGCACAAGGGACTGGGTGCAGAATCTGCTGTTACACTATTTTCAGTACATAGCAGGGTATTCCCTGGTGTCTGCACCCAGAGGTGGTGCTTGCTCCCCTTGGCTTCTCCCTGGGAGCTCAAATTCAGTCTTTTCCCCCGTGCTCCCGGTGGCAGTTGCAGCAGAGGCTGAGCCGGTCCATACCAGGGCTGTAGGGCAGAGGTGCCAGGCTGAAAAAGGCACTGCAGTAGTTGTGGAGCAGGCAGGAGCGTGGCCAGAGCTGAACAGCCTTGCATCCAGCCCGGTTAGCCCTGCTGAGGTTTCCCTTTTGAATTTCTGTTGGGCTTTGCTTGCCTGAGCTGCTGCAGCGTGTTGCTGAGGTTGGCTCGGCTTCTCCCAGCCAACTTCACTACACTGAGTAAAGCGGGAAGGGAGCAGATGAGGTCTCAAATCATTTCACATCAAAACCACTGTGAATTTATGCATTTCCATTGGATGGGCTTAGATGCAAGGACTCTGTTCAAGTGGCAAGAGTACAATAAGATTTGCAGTTCAGGGACTTGTGCCAGACTGCCGCACTCATCAGCCAAAGTGCTGATTACTCTCTACCCAGAGTGCTGATACACATAGTACAAAGCTATCTTCCTAATATATGCTTTAAATCCAAAATGAGCAATGAAAAGGTCCCTCCAAACATGGACGTGCCATTCATGAAGGATGTATGCTGAGGCCAGTAGAGCACCAAATATGCTTTAATTAACAGCTGTAGGTGATGTTACTGGCAGAGGTGTAAAATCACTGCGTTTTATCTTTTGAGCTCCGTAGCCTCATCAAGAAGTTAAAACATTTGTGGATCTTTCATGCAGTCTTTCTCCTCCTGGGATGTTTAAGTTAGCTGACTGTCAGCATGGTGATGCAGGCTGTGAAGGTTCAGAGAATTACCTTGATGGTACGACAGCCTCTTCCATTCCGACTGCAATCCAAGGCTCATTTTTCCTCTGAGGCATTCATTGAAATTCTGTGCACGATTTGTTCCTCTGGTTGTTTAACAATGTCTCTCATGTTTGCCCTGATTTAAAAAATCCTCCTTTGTAGCAGAGATAACATAGAGCAGGATGGTATAATTGCAGTAAAGAGGCCCTGGAGCTTGCAGTAATAGCATGGTTCATCTGATGTGTACTGCCATTAGAAAATAACCCACGTATGTATGTTCTCAGGGGACAGTAAAGAGGCTTTTAAGGATTACACTTTATGTAGTATGAAAGCTAATGAGCAAAAGGGCAAGTATGAAGAAAATTATTGCTGCAGAAAGCATGGTGCCACTTCCTGTCTCACGCGTTTCCTGACACCTGTGTAGCTCCAAAACATCCATCTCTGCCCATCAATGCATGGCTTTTCGTGCGCTGCAGTCGGTTCCCAAGCCTTTTGAGAACACTGTATTATTTTCATTTCACTGAAAAATAAATAGCATGTCAAAAGTATGGCAGAGCTGAGTTCGGGATTGAAACTGCTGTGTGTGTGTACAAAATAAATAGTTTGGGGGGAATAGCGATCTACGATAGTTTGTGCCCTCAAAAAACCTGAAAGATTTGCTAGAATGATACTGTTTCATGAACGTTGCTGAAAGGTTGATGTATTAAGACTGTTGGTTACGCAGACTCTCAATTCTCCCATCTCCATTCTTTTCCTGGCCAGTGCGCAAAAACATATGAAGACATCAACGCACAGTAAACACTGAAGGATGCGTTTCAGATGTTACATGTCATGCAGAGTCAGAGTTGTAAAGTTTGGGCTGTGGAGGTGGAAATTTCAGAGCAGCTGGTTTCTGATATTAACAACTTCTTGTTCAAATGGATTGCCACGTAGAGTGCCAATTCCTTCCCCTTGCATTTGTGCTGAAACAGAAGCCATCTAGCACAACAGACTTGGGCTTCTTTTTTTTTTTCACAGCATTTTCCTCTTGCTTAAAGAGCATGTTGTAGATAAATAAATTAATTCACCTTTTCATAGTCTGTACCCTCTCTGCACTATTGTAGTATATTTTTGTACCTTGTCAGGTTTTTATGTTCAATGGAATGGCTGAACTTGCGTCTTTCTTCATATATTTAACATAGTAAAGGGTCAGACTTTGCTATCAGGTAAAGGGAAGTGGCTTCACTGGAGTTGCAGAGCCTCAGAGGGGAAGCTGGATTTTGACCAAATGCTCTACTGGGGTTCTGCAGCAAGGTCTGACATCCATAACTTCATTATATTCCAAAGGGTACTAACAATAGTTAAAAAGAAGTCCAAGAATATTAAGTGAGGAAGAGATCACAGCCAGCATCTTTGCAAGGATGTGAGCAGGCCAGTAACCTTCTTAAACATCCCTGTTTCCACCCACAAGTCAAGGGAGCTAGTGGTCAGGAGATTGCAGTACCTCTTTCTGGGCCAAAGAAGTGACTTAATTTCCCTTAACGGCAAAGAAGGTTCAGGAGACAACGTGATCGGATTCTTACATTAATACCTCTTTACTCCTATCTAATCACATTGGAAGTGTGTTAGAGTGCATGTGAAGTATTTTTTCTGCTTGTATTGAGGCCCGTCTGTGTGGTCAGAGGGTTGTAAAGGGCTCACAGAGGGAGTAGGAAAGATGTCTTCTCCTGACTCCCGGGGTGTAGGCAGGACTCTGCATGTTGGGACAGGGGTGAGGGTTGCACGTGCCCTATGGGCAGGAGAAATTGCTGAAGTCCTTGAAGAGTAATAAGATTGTTAAAATAATAATCCATAACCTAACGGACCTCAGCTCTTAACCCGTCCCCTTTTTGTATTCCTGCACCTAAAACGTGGAGTGGTTGTGCCGTGTACTAAGCAGTGTTTGCTAATACAGAGGAGATTTTCAGGGCAGAGGTACATGTAATACCCCCATGAGAGGATGCCTACACGTTCAGCATAAGGGTAGATACTTAGTCATTTCCATAATTTTTTGTTTCAGTTTGATAGTAATGTCTGTATTGGGCAATAAATTCGTCGTATTTGGAGAATCTGGAACACAAAGCTGAGGCGAAGAGACAGCTGTATGTTCAAACATACAGCAGAGTATCAGCAGTAGTCTGACTAAAGTAATGGTAATGCAATTATATTTATTAGAGATAACAGAAGGGCTTCTCTCTGCTTGACCCCAGTGGTGTCCGTCTGCAGAGCACCAGTCCACCACCCTGTGCCAGCACATCACGGTCCAACTCTGTGAGCCCAGATCCGATGTTTGATTGCATTCCCCCACTTAGCGTCACTTGATCCCTGGTCCACCATCAATCTATTGTTCATTACAACATCTGGGACTTACTTTGACAACCACAAGTGACATGAGATGAATTATCTGTTGCTGCTTCTGCTGTCAGTTGACTCCTCTCTGCTTAAACTTCCAGTCTTGCAAATACCAGAATAGGAGTCCTAAATTTTTTATTTCTGTCCTTTCTTCCCCTCCCCCCCATAATTGGTATACGGGAGCAGAAGAGGACTTGCAATTTTATTATTGCTGTATAAGCCTTCTGTAAACTCAGTTACAGCACTTCTGATGTTGGTAATTTTTGTGACTAAAAAATATGCTGACACTGTGTTTGTGCATAGGAAAAGAGCAAATTTGAATGTATAATAATCTTGTGCATTTGGGAGATGTTTGATGCTGTATCCCAGCCAAGTTAATCACTTGTGGAATTATTTTTTTTTTTATTTTGCTCAGTTGACTGGAGACATTAATCTCATATCTGTGGAAAGGCATCTTTAATGCTAAAAAATTGATCAGAGATACCCAACGTTTCTCTGGCATCAGAAAAGATTTTGAAGGAAAGCTATCAGTTGACAATAGACCTGCAGAAACAGAGATATTGGTTGCTTTATTTTTCTTACATAATGAAGAAATACCCAGGTGATTATTTCCAATTCGTGAAGTATATTGAATGGTGTACTGTATTCATGAATATAAATTGAGCGGACTTGACACACATTTTTCGTATAAAAATAACACAGCGTTGCTCCTGATAATTCTTCTTTGCCTGAAATATGCTTATTCTGAGAACATCGCTACAGAGTTAATAGTGCACTGCATAACTGCATGTTAAAAAATATGAGTGCTAAAGGACAGGGAATGTCTTAATGAGAAATTATTCATAGATTTCTAATGACTGTGGCTGGCTGCATTTTTCAAGGACAGGATCTTTCTGCATCTTCCTTTCCTTTCCCGCTTTTTCTGCAAAATCCTTCATCTCTAAATAGTAGCATCACCTGGCGAGCCCACTTCCATCCCCGGAGACTCATTCTCGGGCTGGATGGCATTGCTGCCAAGCAGCGCACCGCCCACACTTCACTTCCCATGCACGCTTCTGCCTCATTAGCAGCTTTGCCCTCCAGATCATCCAGACTTTGCCCATTTCTCAGTTAGTCCTAGAGGAGCTGTCCCAGCAGAAAACCTGCAATGTTGTGGTGACTTTGAACGCAGAGCCGATTGCAGGTTGAAACAGAAGCATCAACTTCTCATCCCCGGGCAGTCACTTGTGTGTCAGCAGTGTTCCCACTGAGCAACGGGGAGGACCAGGCGCTCCCTAACTTTTATGATTGCCCTCTTTTGCCAAACACGAAGCTAGTAGGGTGGAATATGACCCTTAATATGCTCTAATCATATAAAAAGCCTTGCAAGGAGGAGCCAGTGTGTATACAGATGTTCTTCTTGATTAAATAAAGCCTTCTCTGTTTACATCATGCTAGGGAGCTGCGCTACAAGAAAGGTAAGAGGGTAAGATAAGAAACGTGACCTGAAAGAAAACTACCAGATTAGACTGTGAAGGCCAAATACTGATGTCCTTGAAGCCGGTGGGAGTTTTGCCTCTGAGGAAGCAGCCAGAAGCCAGTAGCACCCTGTGTCTGTTTAGGACTTCACAATCCTGCGCTACAATCAGGCATCCCTCAGGGTGGTCTCTGCCATGGGGTTGAAGAGCATGAGGAAAGTGTGCTGCCTGCTCGTGTTAGCCTGCCAGGCTTGTCAGCTCTCGGCATTTGTTTATTCCCCTTCAATTTTCACTTCTAGTAATGCTTCTCTAGAAATAGAGCAACTTTTTGACGAATGTGGGGAGAAATGATGGAATCAGTTGCGGTTCCTTAGAACAGTTTTGATTTTGCCCCTACAAGCAACAGGGTATTTGAAGACAGCTTTCTTCTTCCAGGTTACCAGCCTGTCCTGCCGAACCAGCAGCAGGGGTTCCAGGGTCTTATGGGAATCCAGCAGCCACCCCAAAGCCAGAACCTGATGAATAATCAACAGGGAAATCAGGTGCAAGGCATGATGGTGCAGTATCCAGCCATGTCGTCTTATCAGGTACTTGGAAGCCGTAAAGAAAGACTGATTTTCTCGGAGAGTGCTTAACTGAATTAAGTTTTCCTATCACAGAACGGTCTTCATTACTTCATTAGGATAGCGTGTGGCAGGAGGCCTCCTGATAAGTACACTTCTAAGTCAAATTGGTTTCTTTGCTTCCTGTTTACATATTCTTAGTACTCCAGATTTTCATTCTGAATTGGGAATTCTTTAAATGAACTATTTATTACAGCCTGCAGTGTGGGTAAAATGTCACAAAGGGTGATGGAATTATACTTCTTCCTGCGAAGAAAACGAATTTAAAAAAAAGACAGAACATTGTTCTTTTTTTTTTGCCAATGTAATATTGTTTCCTGTAATGAAGTTGAGAGCTTTGCCTGATCCAGTTAAAGATTACTCATCTGTAGAGACTCCTGCCAAGGATCTCACCATGTCTTCTATAACAAGCTGTAGCCAGATAGATTTTTGTTTATTGGGTTTTGGGGAGAGAGAAGTGGCTTGATTTTTACCAAGTCCCTGAGTTACCCAGACATATTTCCCCAACTTTATACCTGGATTCTGTGAGATATGCCAAGAGCCTGTGAGAACCTATGAGGTGGCCTGTGCTTACGTTTCCTGCTGGTCCCTCTGGAAAGTTAAAAAACTAAATGACATCTAATTCATTTTAATAGTTCGCACTGACTGAGCAGCCATTCATCTTTTCCCTCGGCTTCTCTGAAAACACTATAGCAACCCAGATGGAAATGGGGGAATTGCTCGTGGGTAAAATTTTCCCCTTGTGTGTTCAGAAGTACCGTACTGAAAATGTGTTTTAAAGGTTAACGATCAGGTTAAAGGTTTAGACCTTTTAGATGGCCTAGATATACCAGGGTTGAGTCTTCTGTTTGCACTGATCCCGGAAATCCACATTCAGCTAGATTGTGATAGAGCCACTTACTAGACCAGGAGTAGAGAGACTTCTCTTTAATCCTTCTCCAGCAAAAGAAGATCCTCAGGGATGGGAACAGTTCTGAGCAGCAGAGAACAACACATTTTGGCAGAACATGTGTTGTATACTCAAATTCAGCTAGAAGGAAGATAGGAATGCTTGGGACCTACTTTAATTTGTTTACTAATTATATTTTTTTCCTACGTATTTCTGTATTCCTACCTAGGTGCCAATGACCCAGGGTTCTCAAGGATTGCCGCAACAATCATATCAACAACCAATCATGCTACCTAATCAGTCAGGTCAAGGAACACTTACAGCCACTGGAATGCCTGTCTACTGTAATGTCATACCTCCTGCCCCACAGAACAACCTACGGTTGATTGCCCCACACTGCCCCTCCAATAACGTTCCAGTTATTTCTGCCAGCTGCAGGACAAACTGTGCGAGCATTAACAATGCAGGGTGGCAGGTCAAGTACTGACACTGTGGCTTAGTGTGGATATACGAGGATAGCGGTGCGTTATTTGACAAATAACTCATGGCCTTCAAATGAAGAGGAACACAACAGGATAATCAGTTGAGGACATAAGAACTGACTATGCTCAAGTGATTTGCTGCTGGAAAAATCTGTAAAAAAAAATAAAAAATAAATTTTGAAAAAAAAATGTTTGCTGGTTAATGGTGCATATTTTTGTCATGTCTGCTAGGTATGCCTTTATAGCTTAGCTAGTGACATGAATTCATTGAGGTAAGATTTTTTCCTACCACTGAACACCACTGTGTAGATTGTAATATCCCCGATTCGGATTAGTTTTGTACTTTGTGTTGAGTTTGTGAAGCTAAAGGTATTTAAAAATATAATAAAATCACATTGTACCAAAGCTGTAATGGAAATGAATAAAAAACAAAAACAAAAAAAGAATTACTGAATGGAAGGAATAATTTATATACACTATAGAGTTTTTTTATGGATATATACTGTATTGTAGTGCTTAATCACAATAAAGCTATTTGACCTCATGGAGAAAGGTCATGTTTCTACCACCTGCTTGGTCTCCTCTCTGTTTCTGAGTGAGTGAACTTCCCTTTGGTTCTGCATTCTCTTGTTTCGGGTGAAGCTAAGGGGGGGAATGATGCTTAATGGGCTTATGGAAGGCAACATACCTCTCTTAGCATGCAGTACCATAACCGCTAAGGCCACTTGGAAATTGTAGCGTAGACATCTAGAAAGTGTTCAATGAATGATGTACCAGATCATCTTAAACTAAGTTTGTGCTTTTCCAATCCCTAGGACCAGTAATGTCACAAACACAATACACCACTGCTACAAGGCTCTACTAAGTCATACCTTTTCAAGAGGCCATACGACAGTTGTGTATAAGAAGCCGTAGATGTCCTGTGATATCCCATCCACTGGTTGGAAGATCGGTTGCTACTAACGTAGCAACCATAGTACCCAGCAATTCTTCTGCTACATAGAGATGCTCTATCCAATTATTGGTACTCCAGCTATAAAGCCATTTTGCAACAAAAAGATGACAACCCAAGAATCTGGTCCATCATGCTCAAGTAGTGGGGATGAACAATATATTTGGGGGTTTGGCTCTTAAAACATGCAGCACAGTGGTTTGCCAGGAATTTTTAGAACAGTTTTTTTAATTCCTGTGGCATTTCTCGTTATTATGTCATGCTCACTGAAATTCCCAGCTTGTTCTGTTATATTATTCTTCATAAATGCTGCATGGAGTTCTTCATTCTGCTTCAGTGATGGCAACATTTGAGTCACAAATGTGTTTACCAGACAAAAGCCTGTGTTGTTTTTCACTTAAGCTGCATTTTTGATCAGTTTTGAACACCTTTAAAATAGGTAGGAGTTGAGCACTCCAGAATTATGCATATGCATCATGAAAAAATCTGAGATCCTTCTGGGCGTAAAATCTGTATGTGTCATGGTATGATTTTAGGTACACCCAAGATAACAGCAGCCTATAAGGCCCTTGGCCATCGTTAATCTGAATGTGAAACAGCTTTTATTGTACCTGTAAGACAGGGGCCTTTCTTTACGCACTTCAGCTATGGAAGCAGGAACTGGAAGGGCTACAACCCATATTTAAAACAAACATTTTTCTTTTCTATACAACGAACAGATATCTTTCAGAGTTCAGTCTTTTTTTACATATGTGTCTTAAAGTGTGGAATCCAGTCCTATGGGATCATAAGAAAGCCAAACACTGAATTTTATGTAGTGTAATCACAATTCATTTGCTGAGAGACGGTCAAGAACATGAGCAGGTAAGTAAACAATTCACTCTTCAATTAGAGGTGAAATGCCTTGGGAGAGCCTACTGATTGATTTTTTTTTTTTTTTTTTTTTTTTTTTTTTTTTTTTTTTTTTTTTTTTTTTTTTTTTTTTTTTTTTTTTTTTTTTTTTTTTTTTTTTTTTTTTTTTTTTTTTTTTTTTTTTTTTTTTTTTTTTTTTTTTTTTTTTTTTTTTTTTTTTTTTTTTTTTTTTTTTTTTTTTTTTTTTTTTTTTTTTTTTTTTTTTTTTTTTTTTTTTTTTTTTTTTTTTTTTTTTTTTTTTTTTTTTTTTTTTTTTTTTTTTTTTTTTTTTTTTTTTTTTTTTTTTTTTTTTTTTTTTTTTTTTTTTTTTTTTTTTTTTTTTTTTTTTTTTTTTTTTTTTTTTTTTTTTTTTTTTTTTTCCTTTTTTAAATCAAGATACCGCTTTTGAATTTTGCCTGTGACCCTGAGCTCTCAGTTCAGATGCCCTGCATTGTATGGCTTATTTCCTTTTAATGTTTTATATACTATGGAGGTTTCTCTCCTAGCATTACTATAATTGCACATAATTGGGTTTACTGCCGCTGAATGACTGACGGCTGAATGAATGGCTGTCCTTCTCCGTCAAGGCTCCAGAGTCCAGCAGGAAGGACCTGTGGGTGACCTTGCGCAGGACACGTTGTGTGTAGCCAGGCTGAACGAGCGGGGAGGGGGGGCAAATCTTTGTGCACGCGGTGTCTGAAGTGAAGAGACCCTTTGGTAATCACTATATTTAAGTCCCGTTTCTTCTCTTCTCTGAAGCACTACTGTTACCTTACTGATCTTCCTTCTTGTCAGAGAACTATGAATGAATTGCCTGGTAAAAAAAATCTGCCTTCAGCATCACAGATCGACGGCAAACTGGGATGTAGATTCTCTCAGTAGCGATGGGGAAGGGAGTCAAAAAGCAAAGCCTAGGAATCTTGCTTCTGTAAAGATACAATTTCCTCATGTCCTTGTGCCACTTTTTGTCATGTCCCCTTGGCAAACAGCATATCCCATGATTGACCACAGCCATGAATTCCCATGATTTACCTGTCTCTGCCCATTCAATGACCAGCTCCTGTAAAACATGCAAATAGCTGTGGGAGCAGGGATCCCGTTGCCTGACTCTCTCAGCCTTGTGGCAGCAGCACCTACCTGCACGTTCATACACCTTCCTGCTGAAATGAGACTTTAAATTTTCATGTAAAATTGAGCAGTTTCAGGAGGAGGTCACAGCCACCCACTCCAAAATGGCCTACATCCTCTGATTGTCTCACTCTCCAAAGAGTTTGAATCTCTTTAGGCGTTAAGAGGAAACTGAATTTGATCTCCCTCAGCTATGGAGAATGCCCTAATTATTAAGGTATCCTATACATGGGGGAGACATCTCACGTGGTGGTGCACATACTTGCTTTACGCTGGAAGATTTTATATTTGAAGACAATTAAGTGATTCTGTTTCTATATCAAGTGAAGCACAAATATTACTCTCTAATTTTATTTTTTTAATCATACAATATCTTTAAGTCTTTCTCCTAAACTTTTTGTTCATTAATAAAAATATTCTGAGCTGGATCGCTTAGCAGCCTTCTGCTATTAAAATAGAGATGTTTCAGTATTAAGTCATTGTCAGAAGGTGATGAGGAGGAAAAAGAAGTGACCTGCAAATACATGAAACCAAAGCGGGTAGGTGAAGCTCGGTGCTTTTTTCTCAGTCCTTTAAAACATTTTGTAGGCACCCTCCATAAGAGGAGTGCTATTTGACTCACCTGGCCAAACTTAGTTCAAGCAACTCAGCAGTTGGTCACCTTGAATTCAGAGTCTAGCTTGTAGTAGTGAAATGATTTAAAGGACATGCTCCGCTCCTGTGGGGTTGCTCTGTCACAGTGGGCTTGTTTTTCTGCAGTCTTCCCTTTGAATTTGGCAGGCTCGGGCAGCCACTCTGTGGCAGGCCTGCTGCAGTGCTAGGGGCTGTTCATTGCATTTTCCCTTTACCTGCTGCATACTTGCTTTGGTAGTTGTGTTTTGCTATCTCCATCTTTTTTAAATTCTGAAGCTGATGGAAAGTTCTCCTGAGGCCCCATACATATTTAATTTGCCACTGTTTTTTTAATTTATATTGCACTGAGAAACCAAAGAGGCATATCCTGAATTAAGCTGACTGCATCAGATGACACTGATCTGCCTTTTGGATGGGTCTAAAGCATTTGGGCTGTAATTTGCAGAAGCTGTACATCCTAACAGAAGCCAGATGCCATTTGCTATTGTTTTGTCCTTTGTGCTGCCTGAGAAGTGAATGATTTCCTTCTAAAACTGTATTCCTTTATGTTTCTGTTTAACTCCATGTGAACAGCTTCCTGCACTGAAGGAAGACTGCATAAATTATCCCAGCAGCAGGGAATGGAAACGCTCAGGGAGGCTGTGGCATGCCCAGAGCATCTCGCTCTCTGCCCCGTTAAGCTGCTCTGTAGCATGGCGACCTGCCCTGGCACGGCCATTGAGTGCTTGTATGCAATTCTTCCACTGGCTTTCCCAAAAGCCATGCAAAATGTGCACTCGTCAGTGTCCTTTCAGCCCTCCCGTTCACAAGGCTGTTGAGCTGTGGCAGGTGTTGCCCCTTTGGGATAACTGGGGAGTATCCTCCCTTAATGTTCAGTGGAGGGGCTCTGGTGGAGGGTGATGCCCAGCCAAGTCTGGGAGCTATGATTTGCTGTCTTCCAGGGCTCCTCTCTTGACTGGCAAGGAAGAGGCAGACTAGTTCCCTTAGTCTTCAGGAATACGCTACTTATGCTTAAGCCCACAGACTATGCTTCAAAAATGCTCACAGCTTCAACACCTGTTTAGCTCATGTTGTCTAAACCTACATTTATGATGCAGGACATCACCTTCTACTCTTAGGCAGTGGCCAGCTTAGGGCAATCATTGAGCCAAGCTCTGACTAGTGCTTTGACAGTAATCCTACGAGCCTCAAGTGGTACTCAAAGCTGCGTGGCAGGCGATAGAAATGCCCTGAGTGTTTTAGAATCATAGAATCATAAAATAGTTTGGGTTGGAAGGGACCTCTAAGGGTCATCTAGTCCAACCCCCCTAAAGTGGGCAGGGACATCTTCAACTAGATCAGGTTGCTCAGAGCCCCGTCCAACCTGACCTGGAATGTTTCCAGGGATGGGGCATCCACCACCTCTCGGGGCAACCTGTGCCAGTGTTTCACCACCCTCAGCATAAAAAATTTCTTCCTTATATCTAGTCTAAATCTACCCCCCTTTAGTTTAAAGCCATTCCCCCTTGTCCTGTCACAACAGGCCCTAAAAAGTTTGCCACCATGTTTTTTATAAGAAGCCTTTAAGTACTGAAAGGCTGCAATAAGGTCTCCCCGCACCCTTCACTCCTGTCCAGCTTTTCATCCACCAGTACCCCCAAGTCCTTCTTGGCAGGGCTGCTCTCAATCCCTTCATCCCCCAGCCTGTATTGATACCAGGGGTTGCCCCGACCTGGGTGCAGGACCTTGCATTTGGCCTTGTTGAACCTCATGAGGTTCACACGGGAAGTGGGAACTTCACCGGACTGCCACGACTTCTCAAACACAATGGATAGTGGCTTAGCAACTTCATCTATCAGTTCCTTCAGGACCCACGGATGAATCTCATTGGGTCCCATGGTCTTATGCACCTTCAGGTGCCTTAGATGGTCTCGAACCTGATGTTCTCCCACAGTGGGTAGCTATTCATTCTCCCAGTCCCTGCC